CGCCCTATAAATTTTATCATTCTATATTCAATAGAAGGAAGTAAAAACAATCACTGAGCCCATGCAGATCCATTCCCACCAGTTCGTTTGTGGTCCTCGAGCACATTAATATCTTCATAATGGCCGAGAGAATAATAGACGTATTATGTTCAAATGAAACCAATTAGAATGTGTAAAGGTATATTCAATTAGGAAAGATCTTTTTTATGAATTTTCCGGTGGAATACAATACCTAATCAGTCGTAATATCGACAATATTTTTAAAGATTATCAGATTTTGATGTTCCTAATTACACGGTGGATTGAGGATGCTAACTAGATGGTTGATGTAAAATATCTTCCTCTGTATTCTTCTTCCATTTGTCTCCGATGATAATTGTTTTTAATGATTGAATGAACTAATACTTTCCTTTCAAACTTTAGAATTTCCAACTTATCCGACCATCGTGAAGTTAGAGTTTCTGTTGACAAAACATTTCAATAGGGCGGGCAGTTTTCCACCAATCAGAATTGAGCAGAAGGAGCGAACGGGAAAGCTTGCAAACCGTTGATTCGACCAGACCCGGACAGTGAAAATGCTTAGATATATACCACTTGGTAGAAACAAGGATTTGTTTAACCAACTGCTGTACAGCCTAACCACCCAGAACACCAAATGAGTGCTGTGAACATAAAGTATCACGACAGTCAATCGACAAATTTGTGCTTTCCCCCATCTAGACAATCCGAAGAAGTGACCGTAATGCACCATAGAACAAATCTATTTTCAGCTCCGTATCCACTAGAGATAATGGCCGAACGATTCGGACAAATGGTTCGCGAATTTCAATTAGAACCAATTACTCCATTGTCAACACGTTTGGCTGCGAATTTTGCAGAGGACGAGGTTCGATCGAGCAAGTTTTGCAATCTACCGAATTCCTCTTTTCGGACCACCGCCTCAACAGCACCGGTGCTTGATAGATCACAATCAATCAATCATTTTCAAACAAAACTTCGAGAGAGTATTTCAGTGACTGAATCAGCGATCATCACTGACCAATGTGCTTTTGCTTCGTATAACCCGTATGACGGTCTGTGTAATCATTCGTACACATCCGACGCTTTAATGGAAAGCTATCCGAGTGCACAGAGACAGGATGGAAGAACGGAGCCGACCATCAAGTCCCTGATCAACATGACAAATGGATGTCATAGTTTCGCGCTAAAACATTGCTCGTCTGAAAGATCTCAGATGTCATTTACAACAGGGGATAGTTATGAGCCAATGTCTCCCCAAGGAAAATTCTCACATATAGGTACTTCATCTGGGTCGGATCTGTCTATGTCTCCGAGTGCATATTCGTCTTGTGAATCCAATCAAGTGAAGAACGAAGATTTTTCAACTTCATCTGCACAGTTTCTGCCCAAAATTTCATATCCGAACTCGCTAACACCAGTTTCATCTGTGGAAATCAAGAGACGGACTGACTTGTCCAGCCGTATTCAGTCTGACATAACAACATACGACAATTCAAGGCGTTCCCGGATTGCAATTTGTAGCACAACACCCGCACGAGGGTCAACAATGGTCGAAGAGGGCGCTGAGAACACGATAACAAAACCACCGTTCTCCTATATCACACTGATTGTGTCCGCAATGAGCTCGAAACCATCGAAGCATATTACATTAAATGAAATTTATGCATGGATCATGTCTACGTTTGCATACTATCGGAAAAATACGAGGCGGTAAGTTGAAGTCATTGTGATGTGTTCTGTCCAGTCCTTCCACTAACCCGCATTACGTGCTGAGTTGGTTGCACTAGCAGTCGTTTAATGTGAAACAGCATCGTTGCATGGGTAAACATGTAGGATACACGAAAACCCGAACGGTAAGCGCACGTAAATGTCAAAAAATGAACCGAATTGCCACCTTGAACGAGTGGTGACCGCGACCGTCACATTCAAAACGCGGAATTAGTGTGCAAGTCTATTCTCACCTCAGTTATATCGCGGGAAACTGTTACCTGCAAGCTGAAATAAGTGTTTATTCAGCAAACTCATCATTTATTTACCTAAACAGTTTCCTGACTCACCGGTGACCAACTCAATCTACATAATCTTTCATGTGGTTAATTAATTCTCTCGGTTACGTGTGATGAACGGTCGAACAGTTAAACCAAATCGTCACAAAAGCCTTCTTTTGAAATCGGCGAACTGAGCCCCAGGGACTTGGATAAGGACCCAAAAGTGTATGCACAGAATTGAACCACCGGATGAAAAAAATTCACTACCATCGATTTTTAGTCCTGGTGGCGGGGATCAAAGATCTCC